CCGGAACCTGGGCGCGGGGGCCGGTGGGCGGCCGCTCTGGAGCCTGGCGAGGGACTCAAACAGGCAGCAGAAGGCATGCAGCTGCCTGTCCCTTGTGCCGCCGTGGTAAGAGTGTCCAGTGATGAGGTGCCGGAGCTTTGAAAGCATTCGAAGGGTCTGAGCACAAAGGTTCATAATTCCCAAATAGCTTCCAGACCCACGTTGCCGGCCCTGGCTCCCATTCTTCAGCCCTGCTTTTATGGCTTTGACAGTCTTTTAAGGAAGCTTCCATTCTCCACTCATGGCCCCTCTTTAATGACTCTTGGTGCTTCCTGCATTTCTCCAGATTAGGTTTCATGCGCCAGGTGCAGGGCTCAGAACCGTGGGTCTAAAAATCCTTTTCTCAGCTTCTGCCGTTCTGCGTCGCCTCTTCCTCCCGTTTCAGGCTTGCAGCCGAGTGGAACGCTTCCTGCTGCTTTTGCCGTTAGCCGCACTGGAGGAGTCGACCGAAGGCCTGAATAGGGGCCTCTGGGCCTTATTACTCACCATTTCCTCCACCTTGGGCTGTGATTCTTTTCACAAATGTTCCCTCGCTGTTAACGGCCCGGCAACGCTACCTCCAGCCGCCTCCGGCTCCCAGCGCTGCCACGAGCCTCAGACCCTCCAAGCTCCTCGTGAAAGCTGCTTGGAGAGTCCTGGCTAGCCGGCGCCACGGCCCATTCCCAGGTCGGCAGGACATGTGGCATCGTGTCTCCCAGCCCAGCGGGCAATGGCCCCCAAACCGGGGACCCGAGAAAAGCAGCAGCACAGGAAGCTTGAAATGAAGGGTGGGACTGGGAGGGTGAGATTGGGGGGCTCGTGGGATTAGCGTAGGCGAGGGCCTCTCCGCGCTGCTGTGACTGAGCTCGGCCGTAACACGGACGTCGGCATCGCGGGGCTGGCGCTGTCAGCTCAGTTCTCTGTGTACGGTCACCCCAAAACACCAGCACCAAGGCGCAGCCTCCTTGACCGTCTCAGCAGAGAGCTCCAAGCCAAGACGGGGCGGAAGCTGGATCCCTTCCCCTGCGCCTTGAGGGGCTGGAGCTTCCGTAGCCAAAGGCGAGATGTCAGCAGGGCAGGCTGCACGGCCGTGGCCCGTTCTGTTCCTGGCCTGATGGCTTCAGAGGGGACTGCAGCCTCGGCCGCATCCTCGCCAGCAACTCCCAGCAGAATTATTAAAACATCAGCACCCACACCCCCACCCCCACCCCGTCCTCCTGGAGAACCGGGCTTCCTCCTGTTGCCCCTCCCTCTCCTGGCTCAGCATTTCTCATGTAGGATCCAAGCAGCGAACCAGCCGCCCCATCTCAGATGCGCCAAAGGCGGAGGAGGGGAGCCAGGTTGGAGGCAGGTGCATCTTGTGCGCCGTGCTGCAGGGCAGGTTAGTTTGTTACCGCCCGTCTCGACGGTTCCAGGACCCTGTTTTGTTCCCCTCTCCCCTTTGAGTGAGCAGCCTCCCTCAGCTACCGCGAAGTCCTGGCTGAGCCCTGGGGGTTGAATTTGGCTTGAGCTGCCAGACCCACCGGGATTCTGAGTTTGTGGAGAGACCGTCGCAGGGCAGGCGGGAGGGAGGAACCCACTCAGCGCGAGATGCTGGACAGGAGGGTCTGATCGCTGCTAATCCGGGCAGCTTTCCTCCATCTTGCCCTCCCACATGCTTGAAACCTGTTCTCTGCGCCTACTCCAGGAGGTGAAGGCGGCTTTGCCAGGGCCCGCTCTCGACCTCCTACAGAGAGCCCTGCGAGAGGGGACGCCCCGCCCCTCCCTTCCTGCAAAGCCTCCGTCTATTTTTATTGGGCCCCTGTTCCGTGGGCCCCCCCGGCCTCCCCACCCCTGGACTCCCAGCCGGCTGCAAAATCTGGAGCACGCTCGTGCTCCACACCCTGCATCTCCCACCCTCGCGTCCCGCCCCGATTCCAAGTGGCGGGACTATCTCAGACCTATAGAGGGTGGGGGACCCCGATGGGCCAGTGTGTGCTCCACCTTAACTCCACGGCCTGAGGGGACATTAGCTGGCGGCTCCTTCACGGGCATGTACTTGGCGCGGTTCACCCCCATCCCGGAAGCCTGCCCCTTCTGCGGCGTGAGGGAGAACCTGGCGCACGCGTATCTGGAATGCGCCGGGTTGCAGCCCCTATTCCGGCTCCTCCAGAACCTCTTACTGAGGGTCTGGCTGCACTTCTCCCCTCACCTTTTCCTGTACGCACACCCTGTCTGTGGCCCCACAGTCGCGAGACCTCGTCAGCCTGCGCCTGGCCCTAGCAAAGGCTGCCGTCTAGAACCCCAGGAGGAGGATGCTGGGCGAGGGGTTCTCTGCGACTGCGGGGCCTAGTTCCACTCCTCCCTCGTGTCACTAATCCAGGCAGAGTTCCTCTGGGCGGCGCCCACTGGCTCCATCGACAGCTCTGAGGAGCGATGGGCGCTGTGGGGTTCTCTGCTCGGTGTCCCCATCCGGCTCCCTGGTTATGAACCTGTAACCTGCACCCCTTGCCCCTTTTGTCATTAGTTGTCCCCAGTAATTAATTGGACACGGGTCCAGTCGTCCCTCCCACTCTCCCGTGCTTCAAATAGACCAAGATCAGCTTGAGGCCAGGAGGAAGCGTTAGAAGATAAGAGCGGCCAGCCGGGGTCAGAGCAAACGTCCATCTCGCCCAGTGTCCTGTCAGCCGACAGTGGCCAAGGCCAGGTGGCCCAGAGGGAGGGACCACAACAGGGAATCCTCCCGTGATCCCTCCCCTGTCACCCATCTCCAGACCGAGGCCAGGGACACCATTCCTACCCATCCCGGCTAACAGCCATTAATGGACCTAACCGCCCTGAATCCATCTAGCTCATTTCTGAACCCTGTTAAAGTCCTGGCCTTCACCACATCCTCTGGCGAGGAGTTCCACAGGTTAGCTGTGTGCTGAATGAAGCTTCCTTTTGTTTGTTTTAAACCTGCTGCCCATTTAGTTTCATTTGGTGACCCCTAGTTCTTATATTGTGGGAATAAGTCAATAACATTGGTATTGGTACTCGCCTGTCACAGGTGCCAAATGGGGTGGTAACTCTGTCCTAGAATCCGATGCAGGGTAAGCGGTGACCGAAGACGGACAATGGGCGGGGGTGCTAGCTAAAATCAAGTTGGAAGACCTGTAGTTAGGGTGTCTGCCGTCTGAAAATGCTAACGGGCATCTGTCCGGGCAAAAGGAACTGACCAGACCATGACGACTGAACGCCCCCTCCCTGCCACAACTGGTCCCTCCCTCAGGTACCTGTCCTCCGTACAGCAGCACATCTGCTCAGTGAACGTTGGAGGGGGCTCCGAGGCGTCTCACCATCGCTAAACATACAGGAGCATCCAAACAGGGAGTCACTCGCCGCAGGGCCCCGTCCAGCATCTTTCCAGTTTATTGTTTCCTATTGACAAAAAAAAAGTGCAGCCTGTTTCCAGACTCTCGCCCCCCCCCCCCCACAGGCCGGCCGGTTTCTTCAGTTTCTTATGGGTCTCGGGGAAGGGAAGGTCGGCCCTGGGGCTATTCCGCAGGTGGCCGATGAGGGCAGGGCCCTTTCATTCCCGGGGGAGCAGATGGCCAGAGGACAAGCGGGTTTTCTCGAGGTGGGAAGCGACGTCACAAGCAGGCCCTGTCCC